TGTGTGTGTGTGTGTGTGTGTGTGTGTGTGTGTGTGTGTGTGTGTGTTAAGGAGCCTCCCCCTCCCCCTTTCCCCTCTTTCCCTATAGAGGCCTCTCAACTGTAACCAGGAGGCCCTCCTCCCTACTGCTTTTTTTTTTTTCCTAAACAGTTCAAGTTTGGATATTTTCTACTGCTGGCAACCCCGCCAAAGCCTTCCCTTGGCTCTGCCCACCCCACGTGGGCCATCCTTCCCTTCCCTGTCCCGGCATTCTGTTCGGGCACCCCCCTCAAACACGTGACTGTGTTGTTTTGTTAACTAACCTCCCCAGGATTGTTGGCACTACCAAATGGCTGGGCACAGCTGCCCTCTTCAGGGTGAATGTGGGAAAGCACGGGGGGTAGTGTTCAGGGGCTGGGGTACAATATAGAATGAAGCAGCCTGTTTCTTCAGTGGTTTTAGGCCAACATAGCTTTCCAGTTAGTCACTTAAAAAATTGCACCACCCAAATGGGAGGATTCAGGGACCAGGATAGCATCAGAAGCAGCCATTCTGGGAAAAACCATTTTAGATTGATGGCTGCAAAGAAGCTTTGACTCCTCCTTCCAGATTCCACATGGTGTTAGTAGAGTACTGGGGCATCCTCAGGAACCAGCTAAGAGCCCAATTCCCTAGTTGTAAAGAGGATCCTTGGAATAAAGGATTCATCCTCTTCAATCACACACATAAGGAGGGAAAAACTCTGGAAATGATTCTTCTCTGTCGGTTTAGAAACCAAGAGTTGACTATTTCCATCACTGGTTCCCTCCCTTTCCAAGCTCTGGGAATCACTGTGTGGGGTGAGAAGAGGCAGAGGGGATTGTCTTGAGGGGAGGGGAAGGGTAGACAACAGGACAAATAACAGCAAAATGGGGAGGTTTGGCTATAAGACAGACCAAGTGAGAGGAGAAGCCAGGACAGGTGATGCCTTGGATGTATGGGAGTTTCCTCTGGGAACTCCTAAACTGGGAACATCCCCACTTACCTAATGTGAATGTACAAGGAAGACTATACAGGCAGAGAAAGGATGAGATTTTGACGTCAAGCTTGGAACTGATAAGTTGTGAACCGGAGTGTGGGGAAAAGAAGTTGAGGTGCGTGCCACTGACCATAATGTAGGCAATGTCTATAACTGTTAAAGGTTTTAAAAGCACCTTACATATAATTTCATTTGGGCTTCAGCCTTGTGATGTGGATAGTACTGATCCCCATTTTTCAGATAAGGAAATTGAGGCTCAGAGTCTTAAGTGATTTGTCCATGGCAATACAGGTAATAAATTTCAGAGACAATCTGAGTCAAAGTTTCTTCTGATTCCAAATTTAGTATTCTTTCCTTGTGGTACTGAAGATGATGGAAACTGGGTGTGGAGTTAATTGGATGTTAGGACAGTACTCGGGAGGAATGGCCATAACTGGATAATGAAAGATATGGGAAGGGAGTGAAGGAGGGGCATTTATAAATTAGATGCACTGCAGTTATCACAAACCCATGTGTCTCTCCAAGGTTATCCCTGTCATGACTACCCAAAGAATAGGAAAAGTAGCTGAAGCCAAGAGCAGTGGACTTTGAGGCCTAGGGAAAGAGACCTAGAGGCCAAGTGGAAAAACCCCACCCAAGGGACTTTGAGGAGCACAGCAGGGGGTGGAAGTAGGGGCTGGGGCAGGGGACAGGGGTGTCTAATGTTGTGGGGGACTAGGCTGGCAGGAACACTTGCTCTTTTATAATGCATCTGTCAGCACTCCTGTTACCAGGTGCTATTTCCAGAGACCCAAGCAACTGGGGGGAAGGGGAAGGAGAGAACTTAGGCTCTTCCTCTCAGGCAGCTGCAATAACATCTTCCACCACTTAGGGGCTCCAGAGCTCAACCGCAGTTCCTGAGTGAGGAAGAAGGGAGTAGGCGGAGCATAGGCTCTCTGGGGATGTCCAGGGTGACCCAGAGCAGTGAGAGGCAGCTGGTCCTTTGGCCTTGGTCTAGGCTCAACCTGAAACCGTCTAGCCTTCCTCTGTTCTACCCATTTCCTTAGAGGGCCTACGAAGGGGAAATTTAGCTCCTCACTTCCCTCATCCTGCTACATATTTCCTTTGCAACATTCCTCTCCCTTCCCACTGGTGAAGTCCATGCCTCCTTCTAGATCCTGAGGATTCCTAGAGAATTCCCTCATTCTGGCTGCCTGTCCAGCTGTAGGCTCTCTAGGCTGTGGGGTGGGGCCAGGAAAAGGGGCAGTCCCTAGGATAGGGGAACCACCCAAGCCAACATTGCCCTTCCTCCATGGGAGGCCAGCTCACCACCTCCCCACCCTAGGAATTTTCTTCCCGGGTGTCATCTGAGTTTTAAGGATATGCACCACAACCTAGAGGCCACGGGTATCTCAAGGAGTGTAAACTTGGAATGGGAAGAAGAAAGGGGAAAATACTTTACACGCCTGAAGGCTGGGAGTCTCTAGAAGCTCCTTTTCAGCTTTTAAGATTAGAGATTTGTCTAACTATGATTGAAAAACAGTAGGGATCAGTGTCTCTCCCATCCCTACAACATCTGAAATTTGGTGCTCGATAATACCCTGGGCTTGGTGGTGTCCCGTGGTGAAATGGTGGGCAGTTGCAAGGAGAGAGAGATCAGTCTATGTAACTGGCCCCAGAATCCAGTTAAGGACTTCAGATTCTGGTATTCTTCCTGCTTCTCTGAAAAGGCTCAGCTGGACTCTGTATTAAGCAGACTGGATCAAGGCTACCTACTTCTCTTCAGCCAGCTGTAGGATGGAGGCTAGCAAGTGAGAAAAGTAGGCAGAAAGGTTTCTTCTCTTTCATTATTCCTAATGGGATATACTAGCTCACAGATTCCAGCCTGAACCAGGGGCCAGGACTCTTAGGGAGTTACCTGGCAGAGAGCTCAGGATCCTGTCCAAGGAGCTGACTGCCCAGAAACAGTTCACCGTGGGGGAGGGGCATCTCCTATTCTTGGCAGCAGAAGGTCCCAATCAGGCCCTAGACTGAGGGAACTACTTTGGAAACAGAATGGTGTGGGAATTAGCTCCATGTGCTCCCCTAAACCACCCTTGCAGCTCTGCTAGGGTTTGCTCAGTCTGTAGTCCTCTCTGCCTAGCTGAACTCCAAACCCTCTGCTCTGAAGCTTCAACTCCCCATACTCCAGCTCGGTAAGAGTATCATTGTAGGTCATAGCTCGACCTACAGTATACCAACTTCTTTAACTCAGTCCTCTTCAAATCTGGTGAAGAAACACTGAGAAGAAGTTATAAGAAACAGCTTAGAGGGCTAGGCTGAGGCAGAGGGATGACTCCATTCAACAAATATTCAGCAAGCATTTTTTTTAAGCACCTAAAAATGTGACTGTGGAATCAGAATCAAAGGACAAATTTCTCAGGGAAGAAAGAGACAAGTAACAGCTGAGAGAGGTACCAGAAAAAGGAAGCAACTGGCTCAACCCAGTTAGGGAAAGGTTAGAGACTAGTCCTTAGTGAGGTTGCTTTTTCAGAGGCCACCAGTTGTGTTTTTCTCCCCTCCCTACCCCCATGCCTTCCATCAGTCTCTCCTGGTTCAAGTGAACCAAGATAATGGAAACAGTACAGAATTTGAAGTCAAAGGACCAGGGTCTGAATCCTGTTATTTAATAGCTGATAGTGGTATTGTGTTTTAAGGGTATACAAAATGCTTTAGGTTTACATTCCTTATATAATTTGATATTCACAATAATCTTGTGAGGTGTTATTATTTCCCATTTCACAGCTGAGGAAACTGAGTCCCAGAAGGGTTAAGTGGCTTACTTTAGCCCACAACTAGTAGATATTGATGTTGAGATTTGAACCCATCTCCCTAATTCTAAATTCAGCCATTTTTTTTTCAATTGTGTCACACTGGGAAAATAATTTCCAATCTCTGGACCTGTCTTTTCACATTTGTAAAATTAGTAAATTTTATTGGATAATTTGTTACTTTTGGAAGCAATCACTTCTACTCTCTGTGCCTCAGTTTCCGTATCTGTAAACTAGAGGATTCAACTAGATGAGCTCTAAAGTAGAAATTTTAGAAATTAAATCAGGATTAAATTAAATCTCTATTAAAATAGATTTGGGGGTGATCTCAACCCTCCCAAGTCCCTTCTTAAAGCTCTAAAATTAAGATCTTATGATACCATAGAGCTCATCTCAGTGACCAAATTCTGTACCCCTCCCAATTTCAGTTCTCAGGAGCCTTTCTGAACTAGCTCTTGAGTTACTCTGTTCTCCTCTGGCGGACATTCCTGGATCTTGAGAAGCTGGAATAAGACAGGGTGTCCCCACCCTCCTCCAGTAAGACACTTTCCCATTTGGTATCTGTAAAACTCATTTGGCTTTGGAAACTCCCAATCCACTGGGAGCTCGTAGCTGTACACCACTTTCCTGAACCCATACCTCTGAGACTTGTAGGGGAGGAGAGAGCTCAGGAAAATATACTCATTGTCACAGGGATTTTTTTTTGGGGGGGGGTGACTGAGATGTGGCTGTGAATGGCTTTGCAGTATGGGGTAGAACAAGGACCCACCACCAACTTCACATAGCCTTAAAACCACAAACATCTGCCTCTCTAAATGGAGTTCCGGACAGGAAGAGAAATAGATAAGATGGAGGAAGGATAAACAATTATAATCCTGGCTTTCTCTCCCTCTCACCCTTCTCCCAGCTCCTCCTCTTCCTCCATCCTCCATCCTCCCATCCTTCTCCCATTGTGGGGCACTCAGTTGATCACCCTCCTGGGCAAATTGCAGACATTTGACCTGCTCTCTGGAGCCCTAACAATGCTATCCCATCCAGCTTTTAAGATGACCAAGAGACCAGACAGGAGAGAAGACAGGTATCTCAGCCTGAGTCAGGATCCTCTGTATTGTCTAACAAACACACCCACCTAGGAAATAACAATTTTTGGGAGAGGGAGTTGGTGGTCTGGCCACTTCTGGTCTTGCCACAGTCCTTCTTGCCCAAATGATGCTCACACTGAAGGCCCTGGCTGGTTGGAGGGTTATCACTGGTTTTCAGCCTGTCCACCTCGAAGAGCTACTCCCACCTGAATTTTTACTGGGGGCGAATTAGGGGGCTAAGTGAAAAAGCCAAGGTAGATATATAAAGCCTACCAGCACCTGCCCCAGCTCTCCTCTCGATGTCTTTTTAAAAATCCATTGACTCTAACCTTATTGAAAGCTACTTCCCCAAAACATGTTTTGCAGCAGGAACCCAGGACTGGGAATTTCCTGTGGCCAAGCAAAGGGAGCCAGGGCCCCGATTGGGAAGAGGCAGGGAGTGCTGAGAGCTGGTTGCCTTGGCTGAGCTGGAGCCACGTGCCCCACCCCCGCTCCCTTGCACATGTCTCTGCAGCAGCGGCAGCAGCAGGGCTGTTTATGAGAGCTGTTGTGGTAAAAATGGAGCAGCCTGCACATGCCCAGGCCATGTGATCTGAGCTACCCTCGTGAGCAAGCACAAACACACTCGCACACCGAGGTTCTTACCGTTCCCCCCCCCCCCCTGCCCACCGGGGAGCGGAGGACCAGGGGGGGGGGGGGGGGGGGGGGGGTGGTCGTGATGTGTGTGTGGACAGGGAAGGAGGGAAACAAAGCCAGCAGGGGCCTCTCCTCTAGGAGCCCATCTCTGTCTAGACTTCAATTTGCCTCTCAAGGGGTGGGAGGTAGACAGGTCCCCAGGAGACTGGCTTTCTGGAGTTCATTCACCTTCAAAGGGAGAAAAAGAAAAGGATCTGGAGTCAGAGGACCCAGGTTTGCATTTCTTCTCTCTGGGCCTCAGTTTCCCCAGCTGTGTAATGAAGGGGTTGGCCTAGATGACCTCTAAGCTCCTTCCCAGCTTTGAATCTATGATCTCTGGTCCTAAGCCAAGCTCCAGAGAAGTGCCACCCTAGCCACTGAAGAAAATCTGTGGATAGGGCTGGTTCAGAAAGCAGGCAGCTCACTTTTCAGGACCCTCTGCCCCTCTCATCACCCTTAGCTTATAAGGTATTCTTTGGGAAAAGAAGGTGACTCAATGCTTAGGAATCTGTGAAGATGAGGGGAGGCTATTCAGGGTGCAGGTTCAGTCACAGGATCACAGATTTAGATCAGAAAGGGCCCCTTCATATTACATTGAGAGAATCAGACTCAGAGGGGATAAGTTACTTACCCAAGGTCACACAGCAGAGCCAAATTTTGTACTCAGGTACTCTAATTCCAATTCAATGTCTTTTTCATCTACACTTACTGACTCAGGCAGAGGCCTCCACCAGATTTTTCTCGGGGCTAGAATTGAAATTTACAACAATGAAAAAGGTCTGAGATAGGGTTCCTGACAGCTTATCTCCATAGCCCTATCTTCCCCTAAACAAGAGAGTAGAAAAAGTGGAGGTGGGGTAGGAAATGACAGCTAAAGACCAGGACAAGATCAGAAGAAGCCTAGTCAGGCACCCCAGAAGACTCTTCTCTCTTCCCCTCTCCCTTCCAAAGCTTTCTGCTCCATATGCCAGGAGCCCCTCCCTGCCAAGACTTTTCTCCTGGCTTTTTACCCCTCTCTTGTCCTGTGACCCCCTTTGGGCATTGCAGTGCCTCTTAGTGGAATGTGGGGCTGTGCCTGAGTCAGGCGGACAGTAGGTTAGCAGGAACAAGCAAGCCAAAGGAGCCCGACCTACATTTCCTCATAACACCAAAATTTCCCAGATCCTGCAATGCAGAGCTGGAGTTTTTTTTTTTTTCCCCAATCTCTACAGGGCCCCCTACACATGCTGTTGGCATTTTTTTTCCCCTAAACAACAGATTTTTCCCCCCCAGGGTGCAAACTGTGCATCCTAATGAGTGAAAGCGAATCACACTTCGTTGAAAAATCTCATTTACAAATTATTTTTTGAAAAAATGTTCCCCACCCTCTCCTTGTGGAAAGGGAAGAAAGAGATCGGCATTTGCAAAGTTGCAGCCCCATTCTCCCCCACCCCCTCCACTGCTGCTTTTCCAGTGTTTCTAACAGCTGCAGGCCTGGGCTGTGTGGTGGCTGGAGGATGAGCATTTCTCTTTCGGCTCTAACCGAAGCTATGAAGGCTTGAGAGGCAATGGAGAATGGGGGGCGGGGAGGGGGAAGGGGGGGGAGAGAGAGAGAGAGAGAGAGTTTTACAATGTCCTTACATTTCTCCTCCTCCTTCCCACATTCCTTCCCCTTTCCCTCACAGCCCCTGCTGCCTGCCAAGCAGACATATCAATAGGGATGGCTTCCTTCCTCCGTCAAGGGGACTGTTATGAACTGTGGGCTTCTCCAAGCAGCTCTGGAGACAGGGTGGTAGTAGATAGCAATGTGGATGGGCTAGACGACGTCTACTGGTTGAAAGTGGCTCCTCCAGCCGAGGGGTAGGGGTGGGAGTGGGAGTGGGCATGCGGGGTGGGTTCAGGACTTTCCCACATTCCCTTACAGAGGCTTGTTTCCAACTAGAAGGGCTGTCAAGAAAAAGCACACAGAGGAGAGTTCAAAGGTCACCTCCTCTAGGAAGTATTCCTCGATCCTGCCTTTCCATCCTTACAAATTATTTGTTAATACTCAGTCTCCTCAGATTACCTTGTATTTACTTATCTGCCTAGAAGCTGTATGTATCTCTTCATTTGAATGTAAACTCCTTGTGGGGGAGGGATTCTCATTTATTTATCTTTGTACCAATCAATGCCTGGCATAGTGCCTCCCACAGAGTACATACTTAATAGTTGTTAAATAGAATAAAAGTTACAAAAGTCTGGAAATAATTTTACATACATTCTCATTTGATCCTCTCAATAAGCCTGTGAAAGAGATGCTATTATAATCCCAATTTTACAGAGGAGGAACCTGAAGTTTGGGGAGATTAAGTTATTTACTTGCTTAAATCAAGGCAGTTAGATGGCCCAGTGAATAATGCACAGAACCTGAGTTCAAATATGGCCTCCAGTACTTACTAGGTGTATGACCCAGTCAAGTCACTTAACCTCTGCCTCAGTTTTCTCAACTGTGAAATGAGGATAGCATGTTATGGTAAGGATCAAATAAGATATTTGTAAAGCACTTAGCGCGGTATCTGCACACATTAGATGATTAATAAGTGCTTATTCCGTCTTCCCTCCCCCTCAGGTTCATACAGCTAGTGAGTGTTAGAGGCAGGTTTTGAATCCAGATTCTTTTGACTCAAAGTCCTATTGTCTCTATCTTCTTAGACTCTACTACCTCCCAGAACTGAATGTTGGAGCAGAAAACTTAGAAGCCCTTGGCAAATACTTTGGCAGCTTTTCTTCCAACAAGTGGCTCATCTCAGCCCATCAGTGAATCCTATTTGGAAATTTCTATGCAGGCCAAAGCCTATACCCTGGAAGGCTCGTTTCTCCTTTGCCTCATTATTTTTTCTTATGTTTTCCTTTCCTGTGGGTTTCTGTACCTCTTCAGCAACTAGTAAAGGTGACCTGGTTGCCTGCTCTTAGAAGATAAATATTTCCTGTGATGCAATGGAAGTGCTCTGGATTTGTGGTCAGAGGACCTGAGCTTAAATCTGAGCTCTCTTACTTAAAATCTACGAGACTGCTGGTCAGTCATTTCACTTTTTTTGTCCTCAGTGTCTTCATCTGTAAAAATTAAAAATAAAAATGAGGGAATTCAACTTAGATGATCCTTAAAGTCCCTTCCAGTTAGGAATCTACTACTTTTAACTAAAGCCAAGACAGCCTCCCTCCTTTTAACAAAGCATCCCTAAAAATCTGCCCTTCTGGCCAGACCATTGGTGCTGCTCATAACAATAGCAGCCATCAGGAGTGTCTGTTTTAACACTGCATTTTGCACAGGAAGGTTGTCGTTGGCTTCTCCAAGAGGACCAATGACACCACAAAGTCGATATCTTGACCTGGGTGAGCAGAGTCAGGGGACCTGGACTAAAATCCCAGCTCTGCCTCCTACTATCTGTGTGACCTAAGACAGGCTATTTAAACACGAAGGGTTTCTTTCTTCTTTAAACATGCTACCCACCTCTTGAAAAAGGTGATGGATTCACGGTGTAGGAGATGTACATTTTTGGACATGGTCAACTTGAGAATTTGTTTTCCAAGAGACTATGACTGTTGGAAACGAGTTTTGTTTTTCTTTTTCCCAATGGGGACAGAGAAGGTAGGAGGGAGAGAAAATAAATGCTTATTAACTGAAAAAAAAAGATTGGAATAAATTATTTCTAAGATCTTCTCTTATTACTGAAAATCTGTGACTGGCAAAATGTGACAATGCCAGAAAATCCAGCTATGAATCCAGCCCTCTGAAGTTCTGGAACAGAAAACGTCAGAATAGGATTGCTCCTCCATCTGGCAGTTTACAAGAAATCCCTCCATCTTTTGTCTCCTTGTCTGGGGCACTGGAGTTCTTAAAGTGTGGTCTAGGGACCCTGGATGTCCCCAAGACACTTTCAAGGCATCTGACAATTCAAACTTATTTTCATAATAATATTGTGAATTATGAACATAAGTCATTTTAGCTTATAATTTGTTAAATATAAATAGTCATAACCCACATAAATGAAGTTCTTTCAGGGATCCTCAATAATTTTTCATGGTGTAAAGAAGTCATAAGACCAGAAAGTATGAGAACCACTGCCTTGGGAGAGTATAGAGAGGATAAGTTTACGTGAAGAAAAAATATAGTTGAAGATGCTGCTGTTGAGGCCAGGGAGATTATAGAAGTACTTAAGGGGACCCTTTGGAGACCTTTGTCCAAGTAACAATCTCTCTCTCTTTCTTAGCCTTAGTGTCCTCAACTATAAAATGGAGATATCCCGGTTGTTGTGAGGATCAAATTGTTCATCCTTCGTTTCAAAAAAGACCAATGGGATATCTGTAAAGCCTGTAGCACAGTGCTTGGCACATAGTAGGTACTTAATAAATCCTTGTTTCCTTCTTTGCCTGTATCCAGTCAGCCGCTGGGAGGGGGCGCCCCCCTCCCTGAAACCAGGCAAGCCACCACCATACCCTCACCAAGGGGAAAACTGAATTAATACCAAGATAGTCCTGTCAAACATCCCTTAGATATTGACATCATTTACTTCAAAAGAATGTTTTTTTGTTTGTTTGTTTGTTTTTTAGGTTAAAAAAAGGCAGGGAGTAGTGAGGAAAAGGAGCTGGGAGACCCAGAAGAAAAAAAAATATATTTTTCTGACCCAGCCGTGGACAAGTGTCATGTCATCTAACTACTCCCCTCCCCCTACCTCCTGCCCAGGCTATATGGGTCAGACTTTGTCCCTGCTGGAATGTGTGTGCCTGATACTCAATCTGGGCAGATCAGGAGGACACCCCAGCTCTCTGACTGAGGGGCAGACAGGAAAGTTTGCCCTTAGTGTAACAAGGCCAAGCTCCTTCCAGAGTGAAACAGAGGGTTGGATGTGTGGGGACACAAGGGGAAGAAGGTCCCTCTAGGACAGACTTATTCCCCTGATCCTCCCCAACATCACCCTGCCCCCTTTACCTCTGTCTCCTTCCCCTTTGAGTTACACCACATAGCTTGGCAGGTTTTTACACAGGGCAGTGGTTCACCTGGTGAGAGGAGGAGGGGTTGGAAGAGCTAGACTGTAACCTGACCTGGTTTTCAACTGGGACCCACCCAAAGTCAGTAAGTCGGCCTGAGGGCCTGAGATCTAGGCCACCCACTGGGTGTTAACCCCAAATACTGACAGGAAGATTGCTGGGCCTCTGGGGTCTCCCACCCCAATATCCTAACCAAAGCTCCAAGCTCCTAGATGCTTTTCAGCTCAAAGCCCCCACTCTTCTTTCCTAGCCCCTTTAATAATTTGCCCAAGGAAATCAAGGGGAGATGGGGAAAGACATACTTTGGAAACAATTCCTACTTGTCAACTTAAACAATGAGACCAGCATTCAATCCCTTAATCTTAGACATTAGAGATGGCAGCAGTGGGGAAAGTACAACTCACGAAGCTTCAGGACACTACTGGCTATTTACTGATTTCCTATTAATCCTGGTTTAACATTTTATTAGGAACCCTGTCCTTTCATAGGCTGGATTTAGCAATGGAAGAAAGGTTAGACGAAGGCTAGGAATCTCATGCTGACCTGGAAGGGGGGGGGGGCAGTACTAAGATGCACCTGCTGTATGTCAAAGTCACAGAGATACCTCAAGGTTAATAAGCTGGGAGGAAGAAGAGATGAGAAGAGATATCTCTGGATCCCCAAAAGACCAGAAACCCAGCCTTTGCCCTCCCCCGGCCCTTTTTTGGGGGGTGGAATTTACTTCACCCTCTTCTTGGGTTTCTGACCCGGTAATTTAGCTAATAAAGCAGAGATTTCCTCTAATTGTCACATCCTACTCCCAGCTGCCTAAGGAATGTACAGAGGGGAAGACCAGGGTTGGGGCTGGCAGCCCTAAAACTGAACTTTCTTCACTTTTCCCCTTTATCTCTCCTTCCCATGTTGTTTGGGAAGGAGACTCCCAAAGTTTTTTTCTGTAACAGAAATAAAAGGAAGAGCCCTATAGAAAGCAGTCCCCACCCCTAACTCAAGCTGGTGACACCCTTCACAAACAATTCAATCTCTCACCAGTAACAAGAGTTTTGCTGATTGGAAACCAGGTCTTGGTGTCAATGCAACTCCCAGCTAAGTAAACCCTCCCCCTCCTCTGTCCCTCCTAATTCACTGCAAAGCTCAGGGATTTGTCCCCTGAAGTGTGTGTATTTATGTATGCATGTATGTATGTATCTCAAAATGGCAAATGAGTAAGCCATGGGTAAAAAATAATGGGGGGGGGGAAGAGTTTAGCAGTAAGAAAACTAATCATATGGTTCCAGAAAAGACCCTGACTTGGAATGGGAGAGTCTGCTCAGGGGAGAGGAAAGGTTGGAATCTCCTGATCATCTGAGTTGGGGGCAGAGGGAATGGTTCTCATGTTGCTGTTTCCATTCTGGGCTCTGGTCTAGCCAGAAAGCAGTTTTGTATGTGCAACCAACCACTGGCTCTACCTGGGAGGTGATATAAAGTAGGCAGAACAGGATATGGCAACCTGCCTCTCCTCTTCCTTCTCTCCTGTGGTAGGGAAAAGGAGGGGCAGTGGTGAGGAGCAGGAGGAGTCTGCATTATGAACCAAGTTTTCCTGAAAAGTCTCTTTGCCTGTGTGGTTTGATCCCTCCCAGACTCAGCTGCAACCTCACTGGCTCTGGGCAAAGGGCTGGAATATACTTGAGTAGAAGAGAGAAATGGCACACTTCTTTTTCTCCTGAATTCACCAAAGGCCTCTTGTACTGGCAGAGGACCAAGTGGTGGTGAGATAGGGAAGGCTAAGGCCCACCCCATCCAGGGCAGTTTGCTTTCCATATAGAACTAGGCCAGAAATATCCAGCAGTTCAGCTGCTTTTTTCCTCTTTTAGACTTTTTCTCCCTTGTTAGAATGTTTTCCTAACCACTCCATTAAACTTCCCCACACCCCTTTCAGAGGCCTCTCTCTGCAGACAGTGATTATTATTGTTTTGCAGGTCCCCAGTAGACACTGTCCCCAGGGACAGAATCTGAGTAAGTGGAGGTCCTAAGTGGGAGACTGAGAGCTAAACGAAGAAAGCCTTCCTAGAAGCACTGTGAGACTGAGAAATAGGCAGCTGGGCATGGGAAGGGCTAATAATAATAACTGACATTTGTATTTCTATTTTTAAGCACTTTACATATATTATCTTATTTGAGCTTCATAACAACTCTGTGAGGTAGCTATTACTACAGGTATTACTATCAGCATTTTGGAGATGAGGAAATTAAGTATCAGAAAATTTAAGTAGTACCTCACCTGTGGCTTAAGAGCTAATAAATATCAGAGGTGAGATTTAAATCTAGGTTTTGAATCCAAGTCTGATATTCTCTCCACTATAGGGCCTACTTGGCTGATGAGTGAACAAGTTTTCCCTTTGCTCCCCACCCTCCTCTTGCCCCCTTCCACAACCATACTCATATTTTTCCATCTGCCAGCTCAGGCTCCTCTAGTTGCACTCTCACAATACCCGGCTCATCCCCTAGAATTTTAGGCAGGTGTGGGGGGGGGGGAAGCAGTTGAGATCTACCCTCCTTCCACCACTCTAAAGAATTTGGGTTTGCCCAGTCTCACTATTCAAAGATCTCAAAGCACTTTCACTAGGCTGTTCCCTTCCCCCATATTTCTTCCCAGAGGACGGGAAATGATTCATCCTGAGGTCACCTCAAATAGGTGGTGTTGTCAGCCAAGAAGACAGGGCTTTCCTAGGGCACCTTAGGTTCTCTTCTACCCAGCCACTTCTTGTGCTCCAGGGGCAAAGGCCATTTAATTCCTCATCCCCAAGGTGTACCCTCACCGGGAATGGAGGTTGTAGGTGGAATATGGAGGGAACTTGCAAAAGAGAAGTCTCATTTCCTTCTAGCCTTAGGACCGGGCTCAGGGGCATTAGAAGGCTTAGCCTCCAGGCTTTGGGGTAGGCTCCCACATCCTGGCAGTGGTTACTCTTCCCCCTGTGGTTGGCAACCTCAGCCCGAGGTCAGCTCTGCAATCACGTGAACCCCTCACGTTTGCAAGGTTGCAGAAAGGGCTGTTTGATCACCAAGGGAGCAGCCAGGCTTGCCAGTCACTCCTCAGGAATTCACATGCTTCTGCCACACACACTTCCCAAACCCGCCACCCCCTACTCTCCACCCCATCCCACTCCACTTCCAGCTCCGCCTAAGACCACACTAGAGGTTTTCTAAGGCAGAAGGAAATAAAAGTGTAAGGAGTTTGCCTCCTGCATAAACTACAAATCCCAGCAATCCTCGGGAGACGCAGGCGCACTGAGTTCAACGTGCCTGCTGCTGGAAAAGTGTGTCACTGGGGCACGAGGCGCTCCCTGGGATCACATGGTACCTGCTCCAGTGCCGCGTGCGGGCTCAGGAGCCTTGGGCTTCTGGCGCCTGCGCAGAGCCATCTGTCCCAGGGAAAGCGGCTCGGGCAAAAGGCGGCTGAGATTGGCAGAGTGAAATACTGCAGCTGAGCGAGCGCATCAGGGCACTTGTCTTCTCCCCATCACCTGTTCACCTCCCGACTCCAACCTCTCTCCATCCAGGACCACTGGCATCGGCCATCTCCTGGATTGCAACGCCGCACTGCCGCAAAGCTACCAGGCAGTAGCCCCTTCAGTGCATTGCAGAGACCCTCCCCTCTCTTTTCCAGCCAAGAGCTACTGCAGACTGATTGCACCCTTTTTCTCCTGCTGCTCCTCCCATGCAAAGCAGATCTCTGCTGCCCCAGCTTCGTCCCTTTCTGGAGAGCTGTTGTCATCCAGTCATCCAAACACTTCGTCGCCAGGTGCCAGGGACCCCGACCCTGAGCATACTAGGCTGGGGGATTTCCCACCTTCAGCCAGTGCTCAGTGGGTGAGGGCCGCAGTCCGAAACCACAGTTTGAGACGCGGTCCTGTTTGAATGAGAGCTGTCAGTTGGTGAAGACATGACGACCACTCTGGACTCCAACAATAACACAGGTACAGTGGCTCCTGGGCTACTATCTCTGTACCACTAAAACTTCCTGAGATCTCCCCTTTATTGGCAGCTGGGGGAGGAAGCAGAGATGCCCGGCATGGGTCCGAATGACCTCCCAGTGGCTTTTCACGGCCCCGGGTTGGGGAAAAGGGGTATCTTTCATGGAACCCTCTCCGGGGGGGCCCGGAGGCCGGGGGGGGCCCGGGAGGCCAGAGGAGGAGGACCTTTGAGTAGGCACTGAGGGTAAGGGGATTAGCTGGGGACCTCAAAATCAGCCCCTCGGGGGCCCCCCCCCCGTTATTTGTTCTGGCGCCGTGGGGCAGCTGGCGGACGCCTCGCCTTGCTTTCCTCCCCTCCCGGGGCTTCCCTGAAACCTGAGAGGAAGGAAAGGCTACGCTTGCCGGGGCTTGGGGCTGAGGAGCAGAGCTGAAGAGCAGGAGCCATCCTCCATAGAGGCGGGCTGCTTGGGATGCCTGCGGGGCTTGGGGTCGGGGTACCTGGTGAGCAGACCCTCCTCTTTGACCGGAGGAGGGGGTGGGGAAGAGAGGGCATGCGGGAGCCGTGCCAGAACCAGAGCTTCGGCCGGCCTGGGCCAGGGTCGACTCAGGAGCCCAGGCTGCCCCTTGGCTCACATGGCCCCAGGGCTGGGCCCACGTGCTGCGTTTGTTTTCATTCAGCAGTCGCCTCGGCTGCTTCCCCATTGGCCGACGCCTGCCGGCCCCGTTACATAATGAGCTCCGCCTCCCCGTCTCCGGGGCAACGTGGGTCCCCCCCCCCGCCCTCTCTCCTCCCACCCCATCCAGCTCTGCTGGTTCCCCCTTCAGCTCCGCCCCTGACTCCCAGGCTCGGGGAGGTCGAGGTGTGGCCCCTCCTGGCCTGACGGGAAGCGTGTGGGGCGGGGTCTCCAGTTCCGGGGTTTCTCGTTGGGGAGCCACGTGCGAACGGCACACGTGGAGTGGGGACGTGTGGCCGGCTGAGGGCCCAGCCCCTCCCCGCCCGGTGCGTCGGGATCTGGGTGAAGCTGGGCTGACTCACTGCCCCCGCCTGCATCTTTTTCTCCACCTCCCCCACGGGTAGCTGAGTTGGCTGGGGCCGGCCGTGACCTTGCACTGCCTCCAGTTTCTAAAGCCAAAGAGCCGCACACCTATCCTCAGTGCCTCCTTACATTGCCGCATTCTCCCTGCATCTCAGTCTGTTGCAGCCTTATTCCTCTTCCTGGTCCCTTTGTCCTGGCCTTTGTATCCCCGTATTTCAGAGACTTAACCTGATTGTTAATTGTGCCCTCCACCTTCCAACAAATTAAACATTTGTTATCTCTGCTATGTCCAAGGCCTTTTGTCCTACATACCCCCAGCCCCCCCATACAAATTTTGAAGTCACAACAGGAAACAACTTCTCCGTCAGCTCCTAAAAGCAAATGGGAAAACAAAATCCAAATTATGGAGGAGCTTGTCAGACCTGAGGCTTCCTGCCCCTCCACTATGTTCTGGAAGATAACCACTGAGCTATAGATAGCATGGACCTTTTTGGGGGAGCTTGGATCAGATTGATTTATTACCAGACTAGGGCTCATTTTTCCTCTACCCTCCTCCAAACTTTGAAACTCCAGGAGTTGGATTATTGTGCAATTGGTTTATGGAGAGTTGGGTTTACCCAGATCAGTCTTGAGCTATTTTGAGGTTGTCCCTGCCCATCTCAGTGTGTCTGTGTGTGCGTGTGAGAGCAGTCAGCATGTGCCTGTTTAGGCACCATGCATGGTATGCCTGCTCACACGTGCCCTCCTCCACCTTCACCTCCCTTGTCCACCCCAGTCTGTCCTGCACAGAAGACAGGTCAAGGGTTCCACACAGGTGTGGCAGGCTTCTTGCCCCTTTTCCTCAGAGTGCCTGATTGGAGCCTTAGGGGTGTGGCTATTCAGGTGTCTTCCAGATGATAGCACAGCTTTCTTGAGCATTCCACAAAGCTACAAAGCTCTTGTTCCTTGTTGGAGAGAATCTGGGAAGCTGCATTCTCTAGCTCAGAGCCTGACTGTTCATATTCCAAACCAACTGTTACCACTTAATGATTATGCCTGTCCAGGGCACTCAGAATAAAGCCACTCTGGTCATGTTCTCTTCAAGACTCCAGGCTAGAAGGTTGAGAAAGACTTTCCTTCCCAACTCAGGGATTGACTTTATAAGGAGTGGAATAATGAATATAAAAAGGAGAGCTCTTGTAATGAAAAGAGCACTCCATTTAGAGTCCAAAAATCTGGGTTGGGATCCTTGATTTGCTGATTAAATATTAGTTAGATGACCTTGGGCCAGTCATTTCTGTACTGGACTTCTTTTTCCTGATCCTAACCCTAAAGTCAAGAGGTTCTATGAAAGTATTTTAATAGCTCTATTTCCTATAAACCTGGGAAAACTTAGGAGAAGACATGATTTTGAAAACTGAGAAAAATTGAGAAGAGAGTTTCATTACCTAATTTAACATGAACCCCATTTCTCCACTGGGGCAGTCAACCTTAGGCTGAATCTTTGCCTTTGGTGATGGTCTTCGTATTAAGATCAGAAGGTCTTTCCTGGAGGAAATGGCTCTTGGGACCTGGCTCCTCCTCCCTTTCATCCTCCCAGGTTCAGCCATGCACAACTAGGTCAGCCATAGCAACTCATATTCTTTAGGGGAGGGGTCCCAAGGCAAGTGTAGGAGCCAGTAGACAAGTTCCTCTCACCCAACATATATTACTGCAGTAGGGAGACAGGTGGAAGGCCTTGTATACTGGCATTGAGGATCAAGAACTTTGCATCAGTCATTTTAGGCCTGTTCTTTTGAGTAAGAGAATTGGCAAAAATTGGCTCTTTGAGGGGGTCAAAGCACCTTAGGGGAAGCCTCTATCCACCCCAGTTTCAGGAGCTTGAGAGAAGGCAACTGGATAACTCTTTAGGGTTGGGTGGCACTTTGAGAAGACATAGTAGCCCCCTGAGGGATCTCTGTATAACCTAACCTCCCCCTCCATTTGTTTCTTTTCTCCTCTGTCAGGTGGAGTCATCACCTACATTGGTTCCAATGGCTCCTCTCCTAGCCGAACTAGCCCTGTTTCTCTCTGCAGTGAGAGCTCCAATGGCAGCTTCCAGTCCCTGACCCATGCCTTCCCTACCTACTTTCCACCCTCCCCCACTGGCTCCCTCACCCAGGACCCAGGCCGGCCCTTTGGAAGTGGCCCTCCTGGCTTGAGGGAAGATGGCTCCCCTTCATCATCATCCTCATCTTCCTCCTCCTCATCTTCTTCCTCTTCCTCTGCCTCCTTCTATAATGGAGGCTCCCCTGGAGGACTGCAGGTAGCCATGGAGGACAGCAGCCGAGTGTCCCCCAGCAAGAGTACCAGCAGCATCACCAGTGAGTCCCGGAGTGGGTTGGGGGTGGTACTGGTTAAGGAATAGATGCTCATTTTTCCTCTTGTTTGCATGATTTTCATTTCACTTAAAAAATGGATAGGATTGTTCCTTCTCACTCTCCCCCTCTCCCTCCAAAAAAATCTCAGTTTAGAAAAATTCAGTTGGGTTGTGCCTTTTATAGCCAAACTTAACCCTCACCTGTGGGATTGGACCCTTTCTCTCTGGGGGTCAATGAAGCACTCCCCAAGGAGGCTGGCTTACCCTTTGTTTCTGTCCCTCTACCCATCCTCTCCTCCAGAGCTCAATGGCATGGTGCTCCTTTGTAAAGTGTGTGGGGATGTTGCCTCCGGCTTCCACTATGGAGTCCACGCTTGTGAAGGCTGCAAGGTGAACAGGGTACAGGGGGCTTGGGGAGCTTCTCAGGGATTTGAGGAAGGGCTCAGAACTGAGCCTTTGGTCTCCAGGGTCTCCTGAGTCCAAGGGAACAAGGGGTGAGGGGGGTGGAAAAATTTATGGCTCTTTCTAGTCCTCCAGCCTGTCGTGGGCCTTGCTGATCCAGACTGATACCTCCCCTCACTTCCCTTCTAGGGCTTCTTCCGACGAAGCATTCAGCAGAACATCCAGTACAAAAAGTGCCTGAAGAATGAGAGTTGCTCCATTATCCGTATCAACCGTAACCGCTGTCAGCAGTGCCGATTCAAGAAATGCCTGTCTGTTGGCATGTCTCGAGATGGTGAGGCTTCGTTACACTCCCCCTTCCCTCCACCACCCCTCCACTTATCCTAGACCCCAGCTCTGAACTCCTTATGCCCTTCAGGTTGATTTTTAAAGTACTTTCTTCTCTCTCACCCCTAAAACTGAAATGGATTTACAGAATAATTTACATCCCATTTCCATCAGAGAGCTCCAGATCCACAGATACATGGCTGTATAGAAGTGTGAGAGCTGGAAAGGTCCTGAGGGGTCAGTCATTTCATCCACTTCCCTCATTTTATTAGAGGAAGGCACTGAGGTCTAGAGAGGTTGAGGGACTTTCCTAGGTTCACAGAGGTTAATGACAGAGATGAGATTGGAACCTAATCTCCTGACTCCCACACCCAGTGCTTTTCCCGCTGTTCCAGGTGCCCTTGAAGGCTCTGATCAGGGCCCAGAGTCATTTATCTCCTTCTGAGCCAGACTGGACTGTCCCTGTCTGCTTATCGTGCTCAGCTTAGAGTTGGCTCCTCTGACCCCATTCCCCCTTCCAATATTTAGTGTCGTGAACCCCTTGTTCACACCCCCTCTCTCCAGAATAGGAGCAGATCATATTTGATCATGGGGAAGGCAGGGAGGTGACGGAGGGAGGAAAAGTTTCCTGACATCCCTATCTTCTCTACCCACCAGCCGTACGTTTTGGACGGATCCCAAAGAGAGAGAAGCAAAGGATGCTTGCCGAGATGCAAAGTGCCATGAACCTGGCCAATAACCAACTGAGCACTCAGTGCCCACCTGAGGCCTCACCTGCCAGAATCCCTGCACCTGGCCCATTGGGCTCCTCACCACCCCCAGTTCCAGCTCCCTCACCCCTTGTGGGTTTCTCCCAGTTTCCCCAGCAGCTGACGCCACCTCGATCTCCGAGCCCCGAGGCCAAAGTGGAGGATGTGATCTCCCAGGTGGCCCGAGCCCACAGAGAGATCTTCACTTATGCCCATGACAAGCTGGGCCCTGCACCCAGTGGCCTGAATGCCAACCAGATGCCCAGTGGTCCCCCAACATCTACAACACCCCGCTGGGAAAACCATTGCTGCCCTCCAGCACCTCCTGATGACAACAACTCTGCTGCCACCCAGCGCCACAATGAAGCCCGGAATGGATTTCGTCCAGCTCCAAATGCATACCCACCAACCTGGCCAACGGCTACCCCCCATCATGGATGTCACCAGCATAATAGCAATGGGCACCGCCTCTGCCCAACCCACATGTATCAAACCCCAGAGGCTGAAACTTCAACTGGTTGCCCCTGGCAGGACCGATCTAAGAACATTCTGTTGGTGAGTGTTTTGGGAGCCCAAAAGGGCATGAGATTGGAGTTGAGATCATGTCCTGGATTTGGACTTGAGATGGGGTGGCAGAGGACTTTTAAGTGTAAAGTATTACTTTTCCCAACTTTCGGCGACCCCCTGTCATAAGGGGTAGTCCGCTTTTTTAAGAGGATAAGGGTAGCATGAATTTCTCAGTGTTCTGCCTAGTGGTCTGGAACCCTGGGGATGTGGCCTACTTACCATGGAGGGTGTTTCATTCTGTGATCTAAACAAGGCTTTGCCTAGGCACTCCCTCCAGTCTGGTACTTAAGTTCTATCTTCACCTTCATCCCCACTTACTATTAAGTTGAATATGCCATCTCTTAGAAATCCAGCCTATGGCAAAATCTACATTGGGCACCTACTTCCTGCGGAAGTTTATGCCTTGGAATTCCATTGGAGCCATTCAGCTTATATCTCCTATCATTTCTTCTTCAAGGCATGCCCCATGAATATGTACCCCCATGGGCGCAGTGGGCGAAGTGTTCAAGAGATCTGGGAGGACTTCTCAATGAGCTTTACACCTGCTGTGCGTGAAGTTGTAGAGTTTGCTAAGCATATTCCAGGCTTCTGTGATCTCTCTCAACATGACCAGGTCACTCTGCTTAAGGCTGGTACCTTTGAGGTAAGTTCCCCTGCCCTGGAGTATCAGTTGGTAGGGAGACAAGGATGCCTCTTTCTAGAATTGGTCACTAATCCGCATCCCAGGTCCTTTGGAGTCTAAACCCTTCCCGCTCCTCTCCTGCTCCCCTACCCTGACCCCTATCTCCCCTTGGACTGAGAATAGGAGAGGTTATCTTGTTGATTCCCACAACAAGATGTGTGCTTTCCCATTCTCCTACCTTGGGGAAGGAGACTCCATTTTCAGAAGGACTCTGGTGGCAGGAAGTTCCTCCTTAGGTATAATCCAGATATATCCTGGAAATTTAAATACACCGTCCAGATGCAAAATTTGGTGTCCTTTCCTCTAACTGGTGAGATTCGGCAATTTAGGGGGCAGGTGGCCCCTATCCCCCCAGCTACCTGGACTGATTCACACACACTCTATTCAGGTGCTGATGGTACGTTTCGCTTCACTGTTCAATGTGAAAGAGCAAACAGTGATGTTCCTGAGCCGCACAACATACAGTCTGCAGGAACTGGGCGCTATGGGCATGGGGGACCTGCTCAATGCCATGTTCGACTTCAGTGAAAAGCTTAACTCCCTGGCCCTCACAGAAGAGGAGCTCGGGCTGTTTACTGCAGTGGTGCTTGTCTCTGCAGGTAGGCTATGACCCCGGCCAGGATGGTCCGGGGATGGAGGGGATGCTGTGACAGACACGATTCTGGCTCTGGCCCTCTCAGTCCCTGATCAGATCTCTCCTGCATGCAAAGGGATGTCAGGGACAAGCTTCTGCACTCTCTGTTGATGTCCTCTGAAGACCTGAGATGCTGGACGGGACCTCTGCTCTCATGATGCTGCCTTCCCTGGCCTCTAGAGGCAATATGTCCTGTAGCGTACTTTCATATCCTCTCCCACCATCCTGGATTTCTTGTGAACAATGTAGTGCCCATGTCCAGGGATCTTTCCAGCCTGACAACCCCTCCTTCACACCCTGCCCTCTTTCCTTTTCCCAACAGACAGATCAGGTATGGAGAACTCGGCCTCTGTGGAACAGTTGCAGGAGACGCTGCTCCGGGCGCTTCGGGCACTGGTCCTGAAGAACAGGCCCTCAGAGACTTCCCGCTTCACCAAGCTGCTGCTTAAGTTGCCTGACCTCCGTACCCTCAACAACATGCATTCCGAGAAGCTGCTGTCCTTCCGAGTAGATGCCCAGTGACTCCAGCCTCCCCACCGACTGCTGTCTCCATCAGGCCCTCTCCTTGTACGGAACCGAACTCTGCACTTCTCTCTCCTTTAAGAGATAAAAGAGACAAAGCAAAACAAACCGTCCCTCCCCCCAGAATCTTATTTATATTGTTATAAAATATTCCACGATGAGCCTCTGCCCCACCCCCATCCCTTTTGTAAATAGCTCCCTCCCCATGGAACTGCTCTATCTCCTCCCACTGAGCCCCCAGTCACTTGATGTGTCCTGTTCCCATCTCAAATCAGTAGTTGACATCTATCTGATATGGCTTCTGTCATGTGTGTTAGGAGTGGGGGAAGAGGGTACTTCCTGCTGGACCAAAAGCCTCCTCCACCAGCAAATTTGGGGTGAAAGGGGCATAGAAGGTTCCACGGGGGAGTTATTTTCATCATATATTTATTACATAAATATATAGTAAAATAGACGAGCGACAATTACCATAAAAATATCTTTCTTTAAAATCCTGACCCAAAACACAACGGGGTGAAAAATCGCACATAACAGACATACTGATTGTCAATATGGGGTGGGGGTCAGGATAGGCCTCCCCCCCATTCCTCCCACCAGCCATTATCCCTCCCTAAGGGAAGAAGCTACCCCCCAATCAGCCATATCTCCCCCCCCCACCCCACAGCACCAGCTTCTCATACATTCAGTAGCGCCCCCAGGCAGTACCCCCCCAGGAGTTTTGGGGTAGGCATTCCCCTAGTCCCCCTTGTGGACGGTGTCTTTGCCCCCCACCCCCTCTCTACCCTGTAGGCCGGCCACCAGGGGATGAGGGCAGGGACAGGGGGCTCCTCTCTCCCCACTCCCCCCATCTGGGACAGAGCAAGGTGGGGAGCTGGATGAGGTATGTGTGTTCAGAATGATGGGTGGGGGAATACTGAGATGGGGAAGGAGGCAGGGTAGGGGTAGGGAGTGGGAAGGGGGGCAGTGTAGTGGTCATGGCTCTAGGGCCCCCCTTATCGTATTCAGAGCCCCCTCATCCTATCCTGGGCACCCCTCCTGCAGCCAATACTGCAACACTAGGCCCCACCCCCACCACTGAAGTGCCCTGGCCCAATACTGGAGGGGGTTTGCTAAGCACCCTCAAGTCTTGTCTGTCCACCCTTCCCTCCTTTATTAGCACCAATGATCTCCAAGATTGGGATCCCTAATCCTCTACTTCCCACAGTAGGGATAGGGGAATTTATGAATCTAGAGCAGGTGCTCTAAGACTCCCTGTCTCCACAGCCCCTCCAGACCTCCCCCCAAATTAAGTATACACATGAACTTGAAACATTCATACACATACACACACACACACACACACAAAACATGCATCAGCCATACACAAACTTGGACAGACCTCACCCCAGGCTGCTGTCCATCCCCCACCCCCGATACCAAGACAATGCAGGGTAACATGGGGGTAGGTCATAGCTCATCTGGTGTGGTTGGGGGATGGGCGGTGTGCTGGAAGTAATTCCCAAATGCCTATAAAGGGGCCAATCCCACTTAGCCCCTAAGCCTTCCCTGCTGTGTCCATTGCTGAAAAAAAGTAGACAGTAGAGCAAGTACATTGCTGGCCCTGTTGTGGGGGTAGGGGTGGAAACTTTGAGGAAGGAGACTCATCCTAGTGACCTGGAGCCAGAATCAGTGCCCCAGGATAAAGAGACAAGAAAGTGTGTGAGGCAAATGTGAAGTACAGACACATGGACAAACATGCATGTGCACACGCACACACAACCTTGTCTCTCTTATCCCCCTACCCCTCAGATTTGGGCTATGTGTATTGGGCAATGGAAGGGGGGGTAGTGAGGATGGCATCTCTTAGTCTTAGGCCAGGACATTTCCTTGGGTGGGCAGAAGGCCATACTCTACTCAGTAGAGCTCAGGACTAGGGTTTGAAGGTTGAGGAAGGGTGGTGTGGGGTGTCAGTGCAGGGGTTAGGCCAAGGGGAGAGGTGGCAAATCCTCTACTGCTTAAGACATTTTTGCCCAAGTAGTGCAAAGAGGAGGAAATCCACAACCCCCTCACCCCCAACACTCTTATCCCATCACCCATGGCTTTTTGGGGTAAGTGTCTCCTTCCTTGCCTATATATATGACCCCATATTCCTCTTAACCTGCTCATTCCCTTTCTGGGGGGTTAGCTCCTACAGTCCCTGGTTGGGGGCAGGGGGAGGTAGGCTGCACACTCAAATCAAACAAAGCAGTGAACCCTGGCCAGAAAGACAGTCGCCTCCCCTGGTTTTCCTTTTCCTGGGGTGAGGGTAGGGGCACAGCTCAGGCTGGAGTTCCTGAATTAGTTTAAAGGAGCAGGGAATCCCTGGTGGGGCGATGGAGGACGGTGGCAGATGGGGCCAAAGAGTTTCAGAGACAAAAATGAATATCCCCTCAAAACCCTCCATGTCCAAAACAAAAACTAAGTGCCATTTCCCTAGCCCCCCCCCCCCATTCCCCTAGCTACTACCACCATTATGGTACCTTCTGAGACATCAGGGTACGGCCAGGAATGGAGGACACAAGGATAAAAGAAGGGATGGGGTTAGTGCATCATGTGTGGGGAGGGGACTGGAATCTTGGAGAAGGGTGGCCTAGGAGTAAAGAGTTGGGGAGACACCCAGACTCAAGAATCCCCTCCAATACAGCCTCTTGATTGTAACTAACTCTGCAGGATATGGGGAGGAGGTTGGAGAGCTGGGACCATAGTCTTTCCTGGTGTGGATGCCAAGGTGGCCTGGTGCCTGCCTGGGGCAGGCACCGTTTAGGGGAGGAAAGTCTCTGGGATGGTGGGCATTTTAACAGGGAGCCATATGGGGGTACTGGCTGGCATCCAGTGTGAGAGGTAGATGGAGCTCAGAATTAGCGGGCACAAGTGGCGAGCAGAGGGTACAAAGGTGTGTGTGCCAAGGGGGCAAGGCAAGTGGGGAGGGGAGGGAAATGGAGGTGGCCAGGACTGTTGCTTTAACTCTGATTGGCAGCCCCACCCAGGAGGTGGTGGTGGTGGTGGGTCTCACTTTTTTTTTAGGGGGGGCGGGCGGCTGTCAAAGTGCATTGGGGTGGGTAAGTCTTGTCCTATCTCCCCACCCCAGGTCCTCTCCCCAGCCGGTCTCAGTTAATAATTTAATATCATCATCTCTCTGTCTCTTTTTTTTGTCTTTTTCTCTCTTTCTCTATTTTTTTCTCCACTTTTCTTTCTTTTACCCTCTCGCTTCCAAAGTGCAGTTAGAGTGACTATAACTTTTAACCTCCCAAGGAGGAGCCAATGCTGAGGCTTCTCTGTGCAACCCAGGTATCTGAGCATGAAAAGAGGGGCCCTAGTCCAGGACCTGGGTTAAGGAATAAGAGGGAGAGGGGGAGGCTTTTTGGGTGGGAGGAGGGGTTGAGGGCAGCTCCCCCCACAACCCTCCATCCTTCCCCTACAGTTCAAATGGCTCCTTGTCCCATCTCTTCTCCCCATCTTCCCCTTGCCCTGGGGGGTGGGGCTCCTGAAAATTGCCAGAGGACTCCCCTTCCCACTGGCATTGTCCTTTTTCAATTTCTTGAGTTGGTTTTTCTTTTGTTTGTTTGTTTGTTTTGCCTGATCCCAGGGCAGGAAGGAGTTCTCTGAGGAGTGATCTTGGCTAGGCTGTGTGTGGGAGGCAAAAATATATAGAAGGAAAGACAGAAGAGGGATGTAGGGTGGTATCCCTTAGCCCTGCCCCTTCTCCTGCTGCACCCCCTGCAGCTCCACAGGCCCCGCCCCTCCTCATTTCCCAGCATTGGGGGTTTAAACTTCCTGATCCTCGAAGACCTCGAGGAAAAGTGGGGGAAAGAGTTCAGTGGGGCACTCGACTTTCATGTGCAGGAACCGGCTGGCATGGCAGGCCCCAATCATCCGGAGGTCAGTCACCTTCATCAGCAGCTTGGGCCAGAAGTGGGGAATGTTGTGTTTTCGGTAGTTGATATAGTGCTCGAAAGCCAGCAGGTAAGCCTCCTGGCACTTCTCAATCTTGTCCACACACAGCAGGCCCGAGCGGTCTGTATTGGAGAGAAGAGAGGCAAGGAATGACTGCTTGCCTGGACAACTGGGGAAAAGCCAGAGGATCCCAAGGGGAGGGAGATGCCAGCAAAGGCCCCCTGAGGGGAAGGGCTAGGGAAAGAATACTAGGATGACAGAGGAAGGACTCTGATAGACACAGAACAGGAATGGAGCTAAGAGACTAAGGGCTGGGGGAGAAACTGAGGGACTGAGAACTAGGCAGAGAAACTGAGGGACCAATGGGAGACTGAGAGACAGAGAGGCCTGGGAAAGACACTGAGGAACAGAGAAAGTCATGGGACAGACTAAGGGACTGAGAGCTGGGAGAAATACTGAGGAACAGTAGGGAGACGGGGATAGGGGAAAAACTACGGGAGAGGAAGAGGCTAAGAGACAGAGGAAGGTGGAGGAGAGACTGAAGAGAAGAGAGAGAAAATGAGGAAAAGACAAAGAGACTGAAGACCATTTAGGGGAGAGCTTGAGGGGCTAGGGGCAGGAAGAGAGACAGAGAGGAGGAACAGAGAGAACAGAGAGAGGCTGAAGGAGACAGACACATCAGAAGGAGCAGAAAGAAGGAAACCAGCAGTCCCAAAGCCTCTTCCCAAGGGTTTCACAACTGGTACCTGAAGACATGAGCAGCACAGCCTGAAGCAGAGCCACTTCCGTGTCATCCAGGTTGAAGGCAGAGAGTGACTTGCCCAGGTCGAAGATGGCATCAGAGACCACCCCCAGGCCACCATTCTTCAGCTGCTCCCGTTTGACCGCCATCTCCCCACTCAGCGTTAAGGTCTCACTCTCAGGGTCATAGCGTACGGCAGCCCGCAGAGACATGATCTCCATGCAGCAGCCCTTCAGTAAAATGATCTGGTCTTCACAAGGCAGCTGACGGAAATGGGGTGAAGAGGCAGGAAAGTCAATCCCTCCTTCTCTGGTCCCTAGATCTCCTCCACCTCCACCCATACCTTCACACCTCCCCCTCACCAGGGCTGGAGCCCAAGGATCCCCCTAAAGCTGAATTAGTTGCTACAACAGCAGATAGGAAAAAGGTAGCAAAAAGATAATGCAGGAGATCTTAATCTAGGAGTCCAAGAATTGGTTTTTAAAAATATTTTGGGAACTATATTTCAATAGAGTCAGTTTCCTTTGTAATCCTATCATTTTATTTTATGCATACATGAACAGACTGAGAAGAGGTCCACAGGCTTCATCAGATTGCCAAAGGGTGTCCATGACCACAGAAAGGCTGAAAACTCCTGGGGTAATGGAAATGGTGCTGGACTTGGTATCAGGTTCCAACACTTATTAGCTTAATCTCACTGAATCTCTGTTTGTTTGCTTTTTTGTTTTTGTTTTTTTTGGGATAGGCAATGGGGTTAAGTGACTTGCCCAGGGTCACACAGCTAGTGTTATGTGTCTGAGGTTGGATTTAAACTCAGGTCCTCCTGAATCCAGGGCCAATGCTCTATCCACTGCGCCACCTAGCTGCCCCTCTCAGTTTTTTTAATCTGTAAAATGGAACTCATAATACCTACCATACCTATCCCATTGGGTTATCAGGATTAAATGAGATAATGTATGTAGAGCACTTCATAAATCTGAAAGCTATACATAATTATCAGTTATTATTTGATTAAACTATGGAAGAAATTTCCAGCTACTAGGAGGAGGGGCAGGGGGAGGTGTGTTAGGGTAAGTAGCACTGTCTCTTTCTCCAAATTTCAGTCAGCACAACAATGTAGAAGTGAGGGAAAGAGAGGGAAGAAATCAGCGGCAACTCTCTCCTGAAACCTAATGTTCCCAGTGGTAGGTGATGAATGGATGAAATGAGATGGCTTTGGGGCTTCTCAGATAAACATTCTCAGATGGGGCAATTTTGAGAATAGTCCCAGGTTTCCCTCCTGTACCAAACTGCCTCCCCGAGTCCCATACCCCTCTCCTTCCTGATACCCACCTCAGAAAACATGGGCAGTTTTTTGGCAAAGTCCACCACACGGGTGATGGCCGGGGTGATGATCTTGGTAAACTCACTGAAGGCCTCCAGGTCCACCTTGTCCCCATCTGGCATTGAGGCCATGGGTGACTGGCCAATGTCCTCTGGCTAGAGGAAGGGTCAGGGGTCAGGTAGGGCCAAGGACCCCATTTAACCCCTTACTATAGGACACTGCCCACCAGGGGGAGCTCCAGGGCAACGCAGGAAGGAGGAGGCTGGCACTCAGGTACCCACCTTCCTCCTCCTTCACAGGAGTACCAAAGGCAGAGCACAGAAATCTGGCAGCCTGATGCCAGCTTCCTGTCCTGATATTGTGTCTCTCTTCCCCCTGATGCCCATTCACTTGGGACTTCATTCAGCCTATCCCCACCCTGACAGTGGACAGAGTCCTGTGGTGGGGAGGATAAAGAAGAAAGACAGGCTGTAGTACTCATGGAACTCCCAATCAATCAATCAATGAGAGAAAATCTGCCATCCCTATTTCCAGGGATACCTTCCAGTCTGATGGGGAAGACTCAGCCCTTACAACAAGGGAATTCCTGGTCTAAGTTCAAGGGGAGACTCAAGCCCTGACCTCAGGAAGTTTTCAGCCTGATCACAATCCATACCCTCCCATCTCCTTACTCTCCTACTCCTTGTGATGACTGAGTATTAATCAGGGAGGACTTTCTAGAAAATGCCAGCATTTCTCCTCTTAATGGCCACTCAGCACCCATGCATCCTCTGTCCATCCTTCTCTGTCCCTGGTTTGATTTCCCCTCCCCCTTACCAAGAATTTCCGTTTCTGCTTCCAATGGCTTCCCTGGGCATTGGTGCTTCGGTGGGCCTCTGTAACCAGATGAATAAGATCCCATTCCTCAGGGCTGGGCTCCGGCCGCTGCTGCAACGAGCGGATCATCTCTTCCTTGCGCCGCCGCTCCCGGTTCTCCTCGATCAGCTTTCGCTTTGCCACCCGCTTTGAATCATCCAGGACCACTGTAGTAGGATAATGACAGTCCCTCCCATCTGTCCTGCACTGTCACGTCCAGTCACAGAAGAAAGTCAGGCAACCTGAGTTTGAATCTTAGCAAACACTTGTTAGCTGGGTACAGATGCCCTGAATGCCTTCCCTCCTTGCCTCTGCCTCTTGGAATCTCTGGCTTCTTTCAGAGCCCAACTCAGGACCCACCACACAGTGGTTGTTATTCCTCATTGCCTTTTGAAATTACTTCGTATTTCTTTATGTATATATTGTATCTCTGCCCCCCCTCTATAACCAGTAGAATATAAGACCCTTGAGAGCAGAGACTGTTTTCATTTTTATATTCCAGTGCTTGGCACAGCATCTTACACAGTTTTTCAGACTAGACCATAGGGAACTACTGGTAGGAAATTCAAGGCTGGGTGGCACAGCGGATGATGCAGTGTTGGACTTGGAGTCAGGACTACTGATTTCAAATCCTGTCTCAGACACTTCCTGGTTGTATCATCCTGGGCAAGTCACTTACCTTCTGTCTCAGTTTCCTCATCTGTAAATGGGGAGAGTAATACACCAACCTACCTCACAAGGTAGTTGTGGGATCAGACAGGATAATCTATGTAAAGAGCTTTGCCAGTCTTAAACCACTAGAGAGATGCTAGCTATTCAACTCTATGTCCTCATGAAGATTGGCACTTGATCTGCCAACCTATAAACTTAGAGTCTTTATAAAGAGAATTGCTTGAGGCATTAAGAGGTTAAATGACTAGCCTAGGGTCACAGAACTAGCCAGTGTGTCAGAGGCAGGACTTGAACCCAGGACTTCCTGACTGAGGCTAGCCTTTCATCTACTTCACTATACTGCCTCTTTATCTTAGACCTTGTGGGCTTTTAATCATTGTTCGCTGAATCATGTTGTATGAATGACCATGGGGTAAATCATGTAACTTCTCTGGGCCTCAGTTTCTTTATCTGTAAAATGGGGATAATAAATACACGTGATACCTCCTCTACAGGGTTGTTATTGGTAAGGAGCTTTATAAATCCTACCCCATCACAAACAAGCTATTAATTCTGTTCCCTGACCAGTCTCTTATGTTATCCTCCCAGCATACTGTATTATATCATGGTGTGGATTTCTTCCCAGTATGGGTTGGAATAAGTGGCTGCCAAGGTCCCTTTTATCTCTAGATTCTGTGATAACTTTCCCCATATTATAGAATGGAAAACTGAGACCTAGAAAGCTTTGCTTAAAGTGACAAAGGTCTTTAGGAAAGGTTCTGGGCCTTGAGCCTTGATCAGTTGTTTGTTTGTTTTTTTATTAGGCCATCCCTTAACTCATTCTTTCAACCAATGGAAAATAGCTAAAGAGCCCTAGTGGCCAGTTGTTGGAAGCCTCTCCCATTTCCCAGTCAGGAATGGGATATCCTTTTTGGTAACCAGTGGGTGTGGCTTTAGAGAGAGAGGAGGACCACTTCTCCCTAAGGCTCCATCATCTGTGGCCTTTATACTTTGGAAGGGAGAAGAGGCAGTGGGGCCTGTGCCTAGGGATAACTTTTTTTTAAGGGTGAGGAGGTGGCAGTAGGGTCTTAAGAGTGTTCCTAGTCAAATCCGGCCTCAGACATTTGACACAGACACTAGCTATGTGACCCTGGGCAAGTCACTTAACCCCAATTGCTTCACCAAAAAAAAAAAAGTGTCCCTAGACACTGTCCATCTTTTTCTGAGGGAGTCACTTCAGTGGACTTTGGGTGAAGAAAGAGATACTGGGAAGGGAACAAAGGTGAATGTTTCAAATTCCCCCCAGCACTTGACTTGTATGTCTCTGTTGCATTTATCCTGTACAAGTCACTCAGCCTCAGTTTCCTCTTCTGCAAAATGGAGATAATCAGAGCAACTACATCGCAGGGTCATTAGTAAGGCTCAAAGGATATAAATAAAGTCTTTTGCAAAATTTAAAACATCATATAAATGTGAGTTCCCATCTCCTGTAAGGCAGCATGGCACAGTGGCTATCAAGCTGACTTTTTAGAGTAAGGAAAGCCTGAGTTCAAGTCTCACCTCTGATATATACTGACCATGTGACTTCATAAGGCAACCTCGCAGTGCCCTAAGCAACTCTCTTAAGACTGTTAGTTGCAGAGAAGGTGACACCCTACATCAGCTAAGGGCATTTGCTCACCCAGGAGTTGAGTATACCAGTGAAATCACAGGCATAGGCCCTATGCTTATCTCATTCAGTATCTCAGTCCTTCCCTCCATCAGATCATAAGCCCCTTGAGAGCAGGATCTGTGTCATATCTATTTTGAGAGGCAGTTTGCCAGAAAGCACTGGCCTTGGAGTCACGAGACCTAGGTTCAAATCCCACTCTAGTCACTCAATAGCTAGGGGACCAAGAGCAATTCATTAAACCTCTCAGAGCCTCAGTCTCTTCACAGATGAAGAAAATAAGAAAAATGGTGGGCTATGAGCTTCTCAGGGTTGTTGTGAGGAAAGTGCTTTAAACTTTAAAATGCTCTGTGATATGAGTTTTTATCTTCATAACCCCAGGCCCTAGTTCAGTACCTACAATATACAAAGACATTTAATAATAAAACATGCTTGTTCAATCAACTGGATGAGGAGTCATGGCAAGGATGGGCTGGGATGTGGGGCTAGGGAACTGAGATCCTAGAAGACAAGTACTTTGACCCTGGGTCACTTCTTTCTGCCCTGACCATGCTTCCCCCAATTCCATGCTCTTACAATCCATGGCCATGCCCACGGAGATGCATTTCTTAAAGCGACACAGCTGGCACTGGTTTCGGGTGATCTTGTCAATGATGCAACAGCCATCATATTTGCAGGAATAAGTGGGGTGAAGATTTTTCTGAATCGTGCGTCGGAAGAAGCCCTAGGAGATGGGTGCAGATAAAGGACCAGCTTCTAGATTCCTGCCCCTCCAACCCACCAGACATTTGAACCAAAAAGCCTGAAAGGAAGAGATAGATTAAAGAGGACACCTCACCAAAGCCTACAGGGATGGGGTCATAGAGAATTCTATGGGCTTTTATAGCTCATGGACTCTCTACTTAGGAGGATACAATTGGACAGGTTTGAAAGGTCAGCAACTGGGGGGGAGATAGGTCTGGATATGGTGAAAGTAGTTGGGGATAATGGAGAGGAAGATGAGGATAAGAGGTCTTATAATGGACACCTAGCAAAGATGGAAGAAGATAACAGAGGCTAGTGGGAGGGCTGGGGGGCAGTGTGAGGCCAAATGGAGGAGGGAGCAGTGTGGGGATCTGTACCTTGCAGCCTTCACAAGTGATGCATCGGTAATGATAACCTGTGGCCTTGTCTCCACACACGACACACTGCTCATCTTTGTCCAGGTAACTAGGGATGTACCCTACAGGACAGGGAGGCAAGGAGACATAGCTTTAGGGGTCAGGAAGAGCCTCAAGGCAAAGATCCCTCTCCATATCTCAGCATTTCCTTGTCAGCCTGATCCCATTTCCCACCCCCACTTCTGGGCTATTCCTTTTATCCAGTTCACATAGGAATGGTTGTATGGGGTGAGGACATGCTATGGCATACATAATGTCAAGATAACATTAAAAATGTGACACTGAGTCAGTCTCATAATCTTTCCAACCCAGGATCAAGTGGGATGTATGTTAAAAGGCAAACAATTGTCCTCCCTGACTCAAACCTCAAAGGTCAAGAATATGGCCCCTAGACGCTCTAATTTCCTTTAGGAGCTCAGTAAAGAGCTATAACCCTTCTCGCAGGGCACAGGAGTTGACAGCTGCCCAGCCACCAGAATTAGCCCGGAATGGCTTAGGGGAGACAAAGGGGGTAGGAAGGGATATAGACAGTCCATCTCACCTGACATGCTGGTTTTCAGGGAACATTGGCTGGTCTTTCTTTTCCGCTTGCCATCCAGTGACCTGGTTAAGGAATGGGGGAAGCCACATGAACTTTCTTCTAGATGGTCTTTGGCAGAAACCCTACTCACTGGAGGGAGGCAACTGGCCCCACATCTCCAGTCCCAACTACCTCCCCATATTGTATTGAGCCCCACCAACCTCCAAGGTCAGCTGACAGGGCTGGGAAGGGTCCTGCTATCTGAGAAGTTCAGGGCTGGTAGATAAGGAGTTTGGTCAGGCAGCAGGCAAGTTCCAGAGTCCCATTACTTATATACATGTCTGGGTGACAAGCCCTGGAACCTGCACATTCTACAAACTCCTAGTAAAAGCACATTCACATAACCTTTAGTACATGCCCATGGGTTACATGACTCAGGATGAACATACTAGCAGATTACACAAGCTTAGATCCATGCACATGTATGATGCATAATTTCCAGGGCATTTGCATATTGACATGCAGAAACATCCTAAGCAACTTTTAGAATGAACATGCAAGTTCCACAGCCTCCAGGAGATACACATATTATATAACCCTTAGTATATGCACACATATTGCATAATCCCCAACACACACACTTTATATAATCCTCTATATGCATACCGATGTTGTATAACTTCCTTACTCCCCCTACCCCCAGTGGTGGATTGCTTATTCCCTATCCCTCTTTATATAGTGGTAATTTCAAACACAGATATGCTTTATGTATCCCTAACTGAAATTAGCCAGTCTCTCAGTGTCTGGTTCCTAAATGGCTAGAGGGTGAGACTTTCTTCTGGATTGGGTGTTGTTAGATGAGGGCAAGCAAGCCTCACTCATTTCCCTGAAAATACCTGACTTGGAATATCTGGATACAGGCAATTCCAGGAATGGCCACAAGGTGGCGAAAAGATTGGGGGGGGGGGGCAGTGACAGCAGAGGAATACCTAAAGCAGTGTGGGTAGAGAGCATGCTGAGAGGATGAGAAGTCCTCTAGCATGGACTGTGTCTAGTAAGTCCCCACCATTTCCAGACAAATAAGGTGACATAGGTATGCTTCACAGAACGTTTAGCACGATCCTGATTCGGCCCTAGAAGAACCACGGATGACAACCCTTAGGCACCCATGGCCAAGTGTCATCAGGATACAGTCGATGTAAGAAATGCCCAGAAGGAGAGACATGGAGAGGAGGCAGTCTACCTCCCCACAGCCCCACTGGGATTAGGGACAGGAAGCTTCCACAGATTCCCAGGAAACCCACTCCTACCCAGGCTAGGATTCTCAGGCTTCACCCACCTCTTCCTCTTCCCTTGGGACCCTGTTGTGGCCCTATCCCCCCTCACCAGTTTGCTGAGCCAGGCTGGGCTTGAAGCCTCTTGGCGTAGCTCCCATCTCCTTGGCAACAGCCACACCGCTCCCCAGAGCACCCTCTCCCCCCTCCCCAGCCACGAGCACAGGCTGTACCCAGCACTCTAGGCCCCATGCCAATTGGGACAGGGCGCTGTGCCACATGGAGACAATCAGGGTGGGCAATGACACCCTCTGCCTCTCCCCTAAATTCTTCTCACACGGAGCAAAAACAGCATTCCCTCCTCCACACATAGGTGCACAAATGGCTACCTCTGCATAGGTATACACAGAACCTTAGGGGATGGGTATATACCCCTACTCCCTGGGAGAAACCCCAAGAGATTCCTTTTCCCCTTCCCCTTACATGAACAAAGAAGAGCTCACGGGGATCCAACATGCTCTAAACATGTATGTGCAGTGACCATCTGTCCATAGGCACATGTACCGTGGAAACATTACATGCCCACCTGCTCAACAACCTCCCCTCCCCCAACCTCTCTGCTGCATACAATCACCTCCTGCCAGAACCTTACTACCTGCTCTAGTAGGGAATTGGGAGGTAAGCATATCTCCTCCAAGAAAAAACACAGGGCTGTCTGGGGAATAGTGGTCAGCCAGCCATACTGCTGCCATAGTTACCCTCAGAGAAACATGCCATGTGGGAAAAGTTCTGCATCCTAAATCAGTGGACCTGGGTTCAGATCTCAGCTCTGCCACTCTACACTTGGGACTGTAGACAAGTCACAACTTTTCTGAGCCTTGGTTTTTTCATTTGTAAAATGAGGGGGATTAAACTTGACAATTCCATCTATCTCTAAATCTATGAACTAGTGATAAAGTGAATACGCTTAAATCTTACATCATTAATTCAGCAAGATGATGCCCACCTCTGGGGATTGGGGCTGCAGGCCTATCATGCTCATTACCTGTTCTCCTCTGGGTCAGACCCACAATCCAGTTTGCTTGGCTTCTGTTCCATTCACTGCAATTCCATCCAGGATTGCCCCCCTCCCCCAGCACTCCAACAGACTGAAGTAGGCACAGCAACCTCCTGCAGGCAGAACCACGAGCCTCCCCCCCCACCACCCGGGCTCTAAGGTACAGCGCCCATGGTGCCTGGCCTCAGCGTTTGGCCTTCCATGCCATGCCCCACGCCTCACGGGGGCGGGTGGCAGGGGGGCGGCCAGGGAGTAGTGTGGTAGAAGGGCTGGGGGGATAAGCTGGCTCTTGGGGGAGTCCTGAGTTGGGGGGAGGGGGGAGCAGCCGTAGAGTCTTGTCCTGAGGGCCCTGAGGAAAGAAGAGAGAGCAAGGATTGAGACAGGTGCCCACGGGGGTGGAGGTGGGGTGGGGGTTTATTCCAGATTAACAGTAAGGCTCCCTGAAGCCCATTGTGAGACTGATGGCTGGTGCGAAAGGAGAGCTGATGCTGTGAAGATGAGGGGAGATCTAGGAATTTAAAGTGTTCCCGCCTCCTCCACCACCCATCCCCCCCCCCAATCAGGCTCAGAGTGAAGGCGGTCTGACACCACCAGAAGTGGGACAACTACTCTATCTCCAGCCCAATCTCCCTAAACATTCAGCAAAGCTCCTAAAGGACAGGACACAGCATAAGCAAAGAGGGGCAAGATGACAAGTCAAACATCAACTTTGGCATTTTCTATTAATGCCACCAGAAACAAGTGGAACTCCAAGGGAGAGCCAGGTGGAGAAGGAGGTAGACGGCTCGACTTGGTGTCAGGAAGACCTGAATTCAAATCTAGCCCCAGCTACTTCCTAGCTGTGTGACCCTGGGCAAGTCACTTAACCGCTGCCTGCTTCAGTTTCCTCATCTGTAAAATGAGGAAAATAATTGCATCTGTCTTCAAGGGTTGTTATGAGAATCAAATGAGACAATATTTAAAGCACTTGGCAAGATATAAATGCTAGATTATGATGATGAGGAGAAGGAGAACAAGGAGGAGATGTGGACAGAAGGGAAAAGCTCTCTGCCCATGATCAATCAAACTGCTATGTACACTGTTAGGGAAGTGAGACTTTCTCGCATTCTATGAGGTAGGTTATCTTATCTATCCTCATTTTAAAGATGTAGTATTTAAGTAAGTGCTTAAGAGAAAATTCACATTCAGGTCTTCCTGACTCCATCTCTGGCGCTCTCTCTTTTACATCAGTGGTGTCAAATTTAAATAGAAAAGGAGCCATGGGTGCCAGAGGCATCTAGGTGTGTGGAGCAGACGTATCAAGTGCTCCAGGCACAGCCCCCATGCTGCCATCACTCCTCAGTGGGGCCAGAACCAGATTAAAATGTAACTGGGAAACATTTAACAAAAATCAATAAAAATCCAACAGAACAGAGATGATGCTAATGTGTGGTTTTCTATGTCAACATGCTGCCTGAAGGGGTCCTTATAGCCATTTGAGTGACACCACTCATGAAGAGGATAGAGCACCAAAGTTGGAGTCAGGAAGACCTGAGTTTGAATCTTAAGTACTTACCTAAGTAGCACATATTTAAATATGATCCTAAGTCCCTTCCCTTCTTTCTGCCTTTGTTTCCCCATCTGTGAAATGGGGATCAATGATACAACCTAAAAAAATACAATCATCTACTCCATAGAGTTGCAGTGAGGATTAAATGAGATAATGTGTAAAGTGATTTGCAAATCTTATGCTGGCTCCTATGATTATTATTGTTAAATACAAATGCTGAAGTAAGACAGTCCCTACCCTGAAGGAGCTTACCTTCCACAGAAGAGATACAATGTGTTCACAGATAAGGAAATGTAGCCAGTTTTCCATACTTATGTTCCCCACTCCCCCTTCTGTCAACCTACTAAGAGATGGCTCTTATTCAATGACTCAGGAGCCCCCTCATCCCACAGACTGCTGCTGTGGCTAATTTCCACCTTACCTGTACCTACACCTGTACTCAAGCTAGTGGGGCTGAGTCATGATCCTGCTCCCCAGAGGGGCTAGGGGAAAGGGGACAGGGGCAAGGCTGTCCTGGACCATCCACCTTTTCAGTCACCCTGATGTCATAGCACAGGTACAAGACTAGAGATTGTGGGCTGGGGTGTGCACGTGTGCACGTGAGATGCTGGTATGTGAATTCATAGTTATGTGTGTGGAGAGGAGAGAGGGCAGAAGGTTATGTGGCTTCTGCACCATAGACCTCGCCCTTGGGCCCCCAAGCCCTACCCCTGGGAAGCTGATAAGAGACTGGGGGGAAAGATAACAAAAAGAGTCAGGGCATGGGGCAAGAGGCCTGGAACACAGAAGCAGGGTCCCTGGATCTAGATTCACAGCTGGAAGGGGATGGAACAGAGGGGTTGCCCGTTCTGCTATAGATATCTTTGGGGCGTAGGGTTGGCAGGAGACTGAGGGGCCCAATAGGGGACTGGGGGGCCAGGCGGGGAGTCTCAGGCTGGGAGCCATCAGGAAAGTAGGTCAAGTTTTTCTTGGCTGCTGGAGAAATTCCTGTTATAAATTTATAATGGTGCAGCCAGCCCTAAGGGGTGGGGGTGGGGAGAAAGGGGTGGGTTGAAGGTTGAGCACTGTGGCCTCCTACTCCCTGTAGCACGGGGGGGGGGGGGGGGGGGGGGGGGGGGGGGCTGCTCCCTAGGCTAGGAGTGGGATGGGGATGGTGGAGTAGAAGGGGGCTGGACACTGAGAGTATTTGGTATCTATATCTTTCTGGCCCTCTTTCTGTCTTGATGCTGTGCTCAGTCTCTTTGGTGTCTCTGTCTCTGTGTGTCTCCCTGTCTCCCTTCAGGCCATGCCTTGGTGCTTGGCACACCCTGGCTGCGGGCACTGCCCCCGCCTGTCTCCTGCCTGCCTGGCACACTGCCACCACTTGTTTACAGAAGCTGGAAAAATCCACTCACCAGCAGGAGGCCTGAGCACCCCTGGGGAAAGGAAGAGGGCCTGTACAGGAGTGGGCATGATGAGAGGGACAGCCCTGTGCACTGGGCCCAGAAACAGGCCACAGTCCTAGGCTTAGGAGGACAGTTTGTGGCGTTGTTCATCAAGACCAGGGTGGTGGTGTCAGCACCTACTAGCTTTGGCAACCCCTTCTTCAAATCCCTGTTCTCCTAATCTAGACTCCAAATGGATGGCCACAGCTCCTTGACCCCTTACTATTCCCAGACAGCACAGGCCTGGGCATGATGTCAAAGTAGCTACCATACTTAATGCACAGTCCCACCCAGGACCCGACTTAAAATTGACACAGTGTTGACACTCATGCCCCTGAGGGGAAGGACACCTATACAGAGCGGACTGATGCCCAAGGTGTTATGAACATGTGGTCCTTCCGGTCATTCATAAGCCTTGTCTATCTCAGCCTCCCTTGCCAGGGAAAAGAGGTGTCTTGCCTACAGGTTGGGTATCCATACCAGATCCCAGCATCAAGTGGGTAAGGATAATAACAATAATAGCCAATATTTATACAGTGCTTTAAATTTTGTAAAAATCTTTGCATAGGGGACCATGACATCTCAGCCCTCACAACAACTCTGTGAAGTAGAAATTTTCCTCATTTTAATGATGGGGAAATAGGATCAGAGAGGTTAAGGAATTTACCCATAGTCACTCAGCTTAAATTTAGAGCTAGGATTTGAACCCAGGTCTTCCTGACTCTGGCCATCTACTCACTATGTGACAATGTCTCTACCTTCTATGTTTTAGTTTTTATTGTTGTTGTTGGGGGAGTTAGGAGGGAGGGACATTTTCCCTCCTTCAAGGCCATACCTAAATTTCTTAAGCAAAATAATGGTAAAGCAGAGGAGAGGAAACATCCAGACAGGGACTGCTGCCCTTCTCATCCCATTCCCAGGACTCCCAACCCTACTGGATCTCTGCATAGGTTCACATTTATGCCTATATGTGGTGGTGTGGTGTGGTGGGGGGGGGTGTAGAGCTCCAACCAAGGGGAAATGGAGATTCAGTACCCAGCCTGAAAAGTGGCTTCTCTTCTCTCCCCTTTCCCCTCCCCCAGTATATTGAGTTTAATGCTCAAAGCTTCTTCCTGAAAGGGGAAGAAAAACACTTTGGGCTTTTCACTCTCAACCCATAACAACTAGAATGACAGACTGAGAGACAGCAAGGGCCCACCTGTCAGTTGACATCACTCTTCACCCCTCCCCTTATAGAGCTGTTGGGGGTGGCAATGTGGGCACTGTGCCCATGGAGAAGGAAGCATTTCATTAAGTCTGAGTGCTTTAGTAATGGGGGGAGGGGGGGACACATGAGGCCAATGCGGCATCCATGGGCACTGTGCCAACCTTCTCCTGCCAACAGGCCCCCATTTCCATGTTGTCCTGCAGTCTGATCCTAATACACAAGCCAACTTAGGGGTGGGCAGTCTCCATGCCACTGGGGAGCTCCCTAAACTAGGAGAGAATGTATATATTCTCACCTCTACCCCTTTCCTCAGAATCTAAACCTCAACTCTACTTCCACCCCAACTCCTTCACCATATCCATACACCCACACACCCCCCTCCTACCTCTCTGGTGTCTGTCTGTTCTTGGCTCACTGCCCCACCCAACCCCGGCCCCTGAACTTTGTCCACACTGCACAGGAGAGAAAGCCCAGCCCCCCTCCCCCCACACCTGCCAGATATGGAAACAGAGACACAGAGGGGAACATATAAAGAGAAAGGAGGGATAGTAGGAAGAAGAAAGACAGGGAAAATGGTGGGGGGGGGAGGGAAGGGAGAGGAAGATGGAAAAACAAGAAAGGAGAAAAAGAAAGAAGGAAGAGGGGAAAGAGGAGGATGGGGAGAGAGGGAAGAAGATGGGGGGAGAAGAGACAGGGAGAGGGGGTAAGAGTGAGTGAGTTAGAGAGAGTAGGAGCTGGGGAGAGAGGGAGGGAGAGAGGAAAAGAAGAAGGGAGATGGGGAGAGAGAGGGAGATAGGGGGAGAAGAAGAAAGGGAGATAGGGTAAGAGAGATGGGGAAAGAGTGAGGGAGATGAGAAGAGAGGGAGGGATATAAGTACAGAGGGAAGGAGACAGGGAGAGAAAGATAAAAATAGAGGAAACATAGATGGGAAAAAGGGACAGACACAAAGAGAAGGAGGTGACAGAAAGGAAGAGGCAATCAGAAATAAGAGAGGGAAAAGAAAGGGAGACAAAGAGAGTGGGGGTGAGGGGCATTCTGTCCTAAGTCCCACCCTGTCAAAGATAGGGGAGAGAAGGAAGGAGGAGTGGTTTCCACGGTGACAGCTGGTGCGTGGTGGCCTGGCATGTGGGTTATTAATAGTGTCGTGGGTAC